GGACAGGGTTTCTTGCCTGAGCTGGGAGTTGGACTAGATGACCTCCAAGGTCCCTTCCACGCCTGTTATTCTGTTATAGTCTGTTCTGTTATTCTGCAACCGTACTTTTAGTGATAGGATAACTTTTACCTCTCTCTTTATCTTTCTGTGCAGAGAAAGAACTCTCTCGTTCTCTCTCTCTCTCTCTCTCTCTCTCTCTCTCATCTATTCATATCTATCCATCTACTCATATCTTTCTGTCTACTTATTACTGTCTGTCTGTCTATCTAGCAATCTCTCTTCTCTACCTATTATCTATTCATATGTATCCACCTACCCATAGCTGTCTGCCTGTCTGTCTGTCTGTCCGTCCTGTCCGTCCGTCCATCTCTCTCTCTCTCTCTCTCTCTCTCTCTCTCTCTCCCTCTCTCTCTCTCTCTCTCTCTCTGTGTAGCAATCTCTCTCTCTTTCTCTCTATCTATATTCATATCTAGCCACCTACCCATATCTTTCTGTTTACTTATTACTATCTCTCTTTCTTTCTCTATTATCTATTCATATCTATCCTACCCATATCTTTCTGTCTACATATAATAATAATAATAATAATAGTAGTAGTAGTAGTAGTAAAGTTGGAAGGGACCTTGGAGGTCATCTAGTCCAACCCCCTGCTCGGGCAGGAAACCCTACACCATGTCGGACAAATGGCTGTCCAGTCTCTTCTTAAAAACTTCCAGTGTTGGAGCATTTACTGCTTCTGGAGGCAAGCTGTTCCACTGATTAATTGTTCTCACTGTCAGGAAGTTTCTCCTTAGTTCTAGGTTGCTTCTCTCCTTGATCGGTTTCAATCCATTGCTTCTTGTCCTGCCTTCAGGCGCTTTGGAGAATAGCTTGACTCCCTCTTCTTTTGGCAGCCCCTGAGATACTGGAACACTGCTATCTTGTCCTTCTCTTCGTTAAACTAGACATACCCAATTCCAGCAACCGTTCCTTATATGTTTTAGCCTCCAGTCCCCTAATCATCTTTGTTGCTCTTCTCTATACTCTTTCTAGAGTCTCAACATCTTTTTTACATCGTGGTGACCAAAACTGGATGCAGTATTCCAAGTGTGGCCTTACCAAGGCATTGAAGAGTGGTATTAATACTTCACGTGATCTTGATTCTATCCCTCTGTTAATGCAGCCTAGCACTGTGTTGGCCTTTTTGGCAGCTGCAGCACACTGCTGGCTCATATTTAGGTGATTGTCTACTAGGACTCCGAGGTCCCTCTCACAGTTACTACTATTGAGCATGGTGCCACTTATGCTGTACTTGTGCATTTGGTTTTTCTTGCCTAAATGTCTATCAATCAATCTCTCTCTCTCTTATCTATTCATATCTATCCATCTATCCATATCTTTCTGTCAGTCCGTCCGTCTGTCCGTCCATCCATCCATCCATCCATCCATCCATCCATCCATCCCTCTCTACCCCCCTTCTCTCTCTCTCTCTCTCTCTCTCTCTCTCTCTCTCTCTCTCTATATATATATATATATATATATATCTGTCTAGCAGTCTCTCTCTCTTTCTCTCTATCTATTAATCTATTCATATCTAGCCACCTACCCATATCTTTCTGTTTATTTATTACTATCTCTCTTTCTTTCTCTATTATCTATTCATATCTATCCTACCCATGTCTTTCTGTCTATGTATTATTCTCTCTCTCTCTCTCTTATCTATTCATATCTATCCATCTATCCATATCTTTCTGTCTACATATTACTACCTAGCCATGTCTCTCTCTCTCCCTTTCTCTTTCTCTCTGCCTCCCCATTCGACCTTCCCCCCCCCTCCCCTGGTGCCCATTGCAAAAGATGAATAATTCATTTCTCCCCATCCTGGCTTCCTGTTTTATTTCTGTGCCTGTAATGCTCACCAGCCACGGCCTGAATCATTCATAAGCTGCCTTCCAGAGCTGCGGGGAGCCCTTTCTGCAAAGAGGAGGCTGAGATACACGTGGGAAGGGCTTTGGTAACGCAGCATAACATTTCCACGAACGTGGAAAGAAAAACATTGGGATCAGCTCCGTTCCTGCAGTTACAGCTCTCCCCCTCCCGTTTCCTCGGAGAGCGTAAACTAGGCGGAGAGGACTTTAAGCCACGGCGGATGGTCCTTGACTTACGACTGATCGCTTAGCGAGGGTTTGAAGGTATGATGGCCATCCTCTGCCCCTGGGGTCACTTGATCTACATTTCCGGGGCTCGGCAAGCAGCCCGCATTGATGGCCCTTTGCGGGGTCTTACAGTCATCCAACTGTAATTTTGGGGAGAAGCCCCCCCCCCTTAGCAAGAGTTGTCCCATTTCGACGACTCTCTGACTCTCTGCCTACGCAAAATTTGATTTTGACTGAAGAGGTGGTTACTTGGATGTGCAACGAAACGTCTCCGGGTTTAAACCAACTTTGGTCCTGTCTCCAGGATTGAACCTTTTGAAATATTCATGGATTTAAGCGTTCCAATGGATAGGTACGGCCTATCGCAGGGGTCACCAACCTTTTCTGGATTGGCGGCCTGGTGGGAGAGGGAGGGGCAGGCGGCTTACACGCACATGCACAAACACGAAGGTGGCCACACGTCCACCTGCGCGTACAAACGGGCTGCGAGCATACGCACCACGCAAACGGGGCTGCGAGCATGCACACAAGGCTCTTGTCAACGCTGCTAACATTGGATCTTCTTGCTTTGACAATGATGGAGATGCAGCCTTTTTCTGCCTGTTGTTTTACTCTTAGAGTTAGATGATACTGGGCGGAGGGGGGATGAATGCGATGGGAATTAGGTAGACCTACAACATCGTAACAAGAGCTGATAAAGAATGGCAGGAGAGGAAACTGGGCGGGAAGCCAGCATTTCGAACTAATGAACTATGTATCTACGGAAGCTGTGCTGCTTGATTAAAGATTCTGTCAGGTAAACAATGCCTCAAAGTTCTTTGAAGAGTTTCATCTTTTGGAACCATGGCAGCTCTCAGTGATGGCAGCGCCTGTGTGAGGCCTCTGGCGCTGCCACTGCCAGGCTCGTGGCGATGCTACCACCAGTGCGAGGCTCGTGCCGCGGCCCGCAGCGATGCCGCCCCAGCATGAGGCTCGCATTGCCATCCCCACACAAAGATTGTGCCGCAGCCCACAGCGATCCTGCCCCACCATGAGGCTCGCACTGCCACTCCTGCACGAGGATCGTGTTGTGGCCCCCCTGCCACTTGCGTTGCTGTCGCCGCCCGCACAGGGTTCATGGCAATACTGCCATCTGTGTGTGGTGCGCCGCCGCCCACTTGCCACTCGCGGCACTGCTGCCCCCTGCGCAAGGTTCGTGGCGACATCGCCGCCTGCGCGATACTAGTGGTGCTGCCACCGCTCGCACAACACTCATGGCAACGGTGGAATGAGGGGGGGTGAGCACTGCCCAACTACTCATGCGGCCCGGTGGCCAAGAAGCAACGGCCCGATAGTGGGCCGTGGCCCATAGGTTGGGGACCTCTGGCCTATTCATGTGCACCAGCAGTTGTGAGTTGCCAACAATTTTTCACTGGAGAGTAGTGAATTAAGAACGAACTCGTGGCATATAGTATTTTTGTGGCCATATCCCAGGGGACAGGAAAGCGTGATGGCTCAGGGGTTAAAGATGCTGAGCTTGTCAGCTGGAAAGATGACAGCTGAGGTTTGACCCCCGAGCAGCACCTGACGGGTGAGCTCCGTCCCTTGCTCCAGCTCCTGCAGTTTGAAAGCATGCAAATTGCGAGTAGATAAATAGGTACCATTTTGGTGGGAAGGTAATAGCATTCCGTGCGCCTCGGTCTATAGTCAGGCTGGCCATTTGACCACAGACATGTCTTTGGACAATGATGGCTCCCTTGGCTAGGAAATGGAGAGGAGCACCATCCCCTAGAGCAGTGATGGCGAACCTTTTAGAGACCGAGTGCCCAAACTGCAACCCAAAACCCACTTATGCATCGTTGGGTGCCGGGTGGGTGTGGCCCATTGGCTGGGTGTGGCCAATTCAGTGGGCATGGCCCATTGGGTGGGCATGGCTGCGGTGGTAACGGCTGACTGGGTGGGACTAAAAAGGTTCAATCAATCAATTCCAACTTTGCAAGATCTTTTTTTTTCCCGCGAGAAGTTGAAATTGACTGATTGAACCTTTTTTTGGGGGGGGGGGCACACGGCGGCGGAAGCCTAAAGCGAAAAGGTTTTATAAAACCCAGCTGAAGGCCCAAGACTGGAATGACGGTGCGCGTGCCCACAGAGAGGGCTCTGAGTGCCACCTCTGGCACCCGTGCCACAGGTTCGCCACCACTGCCCTAGAGCCAGACACACAACTGGACAGGAGGAACAATTACTCTACAAGAGGTGGAGCTTTCCTTATCATGGGTGGTGCAAGGAGGCCTGTAGTTGCCACCTTGGGTCCCAGGTGTGATTCAAAAACTATTGGGACTGTTGAGAGAGCTGTGGTCCCAGGTAGAAAGAGGAATAGAATAGAAATGGGACTAGGACTAGGACTAGGACTAGGACTAGGACTAAGAGTAGAGTAGAATAGAATAGAATAGAATAGAATAGAATAGAATAGAATAGAATAGAATAGAATAGAATAGAATAGATCTTGGAGGTCATCTAGTACAACCCCCTGCTCAGGCAGGAAACCCTATACCATTTCAGGCAAATGGTTGTCCAGTCTCTTGAGGCCCCCACAAGCTAATTTCAATCATGGATCCTCTTCTTTGTCCTTCTTCTTAATGGCAGGACTTAGATGAGAGGGTCTCCAAACTTGGCCCCTTCATGACATGTGGCCTTCAACTCCCAGAATTCCCCAGCCAGCCATGCTGGCTGGGGAATTCTGGGAGTTGAAGTCCACACCTCTTCAAGTCGCCAAGTCTGGAGATCCTTGACAGATGAAAAACGGTGGTACGTTCACGAGATGTTTCTCTTTAACTCAGTTGCTCCAGGGTTTAACTCAGTTCTTCTTCCTTTTTTTTTTTTTTGCAGGGGTCTCACAAGCCCTGATGGACCTCTGAGAGTTTGCAACCGGCCAGCTGGAAGAGCATGGTTAAACACCAGCCACTCCAATATTACGAGCCCCAGTTGTGTTTGTCATGCCTGACAGGAATTTATGGATGCCGGTGGAAGCGATACCAGCGGTCACATGATGATACCACAAAGGTGAGCCACTGGCGGGCCGGGATGGCCATTTTGTATGGGCAAGTCTCGACATTGGGGCCTGAGACCTTGATTTGGTAATAAAGCCTAAGGACCCAGAAACTGGATTGCGGATGCTTGTGACTTGGGACCAGAAGCTGGATTGCAATCAATTAGATGAGAACAATTAACCAGTGGAAGCTACTTTTGTGGGGTTCTTGGTGCTAATAATAATAATGATGATGATGTTGGAAGGGACCTTGGTGGTCATTAGTCCAACCCCCTATACCAGGCATGTCAAACTCGCGATGTCATGCGATGTATCAAAGCTTTTTCTCCATTGCCGGCAATGGGGTGGGCGCAGTTTTTGGGATAGAAAAACGCCCACATAGCATGAACAAACGAGATGATACCTCCCGCCTACCAGCTATTTGGAAACCTGCCCTTATTGACAAACGACTCCCTAACACAAAGAATGACACCAGATCCACACTCACTAAAACCACACTGTATGTCACCACCACACATCCACGCAAAAAGCAAACCCAAAGCCACACCGATGATGAGGCACGACCACAAACCAGAAGCCAGACCAGAGCTGCATCATTAGCCACTTTAAACCCCTCCAATCCATACATGAAGCAAACTGACACCCACCATGAAGATGAGGCACGACCACAAACTCGTAGCCAAAAAATAGCAAGGCAGCCCACCATCTTAAATCCCCCTGCAACTCAGACTAACCTGAGCACAACAAAGCCCCCACCCAAACAGAACACTCCCCCATCCAATCAGAGCACAGCCAACCTCCCATCCAATCAGAGCACAGCCAACCCCCCATCCAATCAGAGCACAGCCAAACCCCTAACCAATCAGAACACACCTCCACCCAATCAGAAAACAGCCAAGCTCCCACCCAGTCAGTTCATACCCCCACTGGCAGTTAAAAGGAAGAAACAGCTAAGACCACACATTGCTCCTTGAAGCACGAAGCTGAAAACACCAGCCTGAAGATGACGAATGGGACTATATATATATATATATATATATATATATATATATATATATATATATATATATATATATATATATATATATATATATATGAAGTTGTAGATAGGGGTCTTCAAACTTGGACCTTTTATGACTTGTGGACTTCAACTCCCAGAATTCCTCAGCCAGGCACACATGAGGTTCTCGCTTAATGACAGTAACCGGAGACTTCTGGAACCGCCATTGTTAAGTGACATGTTAAAGAGGACTACCTGTAGTTTTTTACAAAGCAATGGAAATGCCCCCGAATTTTCAGCAAGCAGCTATTTGATGATTTCTTCTCAAATTACCCTCTGCACATCTAAGAATTCAGAATTTTTTGGAAGCGGTATATAGGGTCTCCTGCACGAGCAGAGGGTTGGACTAGAAGATCTCCGAGGTCCCATCCAAATCTATTATTCTGTGTTCTAATTGTGTTGGTTTTAAAAATGGACTTTAATGTTTTGGTATTCCTGCCTTAAAGTTTCCCTTGACTGGTGTTTCTCTACAACTCTAAGACGGGTGGACTTCAACTCCCAGAATTCCCCAGCCAACATGGCTGGCTGGAGAATTCTGGGACTTAAAATCCACCCATCTTAACGGTGTCAAAGTTGAGAAAAACACTACCTGAGATGATCAAACTTTTACTCCTGGTGATGCTAGTTATCAGAAGAACAATTTGAGGAAGTCTTCGTGCCCAAAGCTATAACATTCCCCGCCTCGTTTTGAACCATTGATTCTGTTTGATTTACCATAATTTAATTTTTTTGCCCTCTTAAGAGTGAAGCTCCTTTTAGACACCCCATCTCTGCATCCTTCTTGGTTTTCAGCCCCAAAACCTCCCTTAGATTTGGTGCAAAAGCTTTCAAAAATTAGGAATAGCCTCCTGGGGGTTTTAAAACGGCAAATTATCCGAAAATGTTATTTGCAGGAGGCTAAAAGCTGGAGAGTAGAAGAACATTTACATACATTTCCTCCAAGCAAGATTTATTTTAATAGAAAGAAGGGTCAGAAAACTTTGTTGTTGTTTTTAAAAAATAAACGGTTCAAGGCTTCTCTTTTCTCCCAATGCCTCTATATACATGCTGGATTTAATTAATATTTCAAGAGATCGGCAAGGATCCTCCTGCATCTCAATTTATAGTGGTAATAAGAAGACACTCTATAGCCAGTCATTTTTGTACCACACAAGCATCTTTCAGGGTTTATTTCCTACTCTGAAACCGGAGGAAATTGCAGCTTACAAAAGCCAATGCTTTTGAATAAAACGGGTTAGTTGGAAAAGGCACTTCCAGATTCCTAATTTTTTAGTAGACTAACACGGCTGTCCTCCTATGACTTTTTCTTATGCTAAATCAGGGGTCTTCAGCCTTGGCTCTTTTATGACTGGTGGACTTCAACTCCCAGAATTCCTCAGCTAGCGTGCCTGGCTGAGGAATTCTGGGAGTTGAAGTCCCCCAGTCATAAAAGGGCCACGTTTGAAGACCCCTGTGCTAAATCTTTCAGGAGGCTGAGGTGCACATGGCAAAACCAGCCAGAAGTGGAGTTTTTTTGAAGCTACCGTATTTAGGATCGAAAAGGAAAAATTCAGATTTCAGAGCTGGCATTCAGAAACCTGAATTTCCCCCTTTTGTTCCCAAATAAACCAATAAACCAGCGGTCTTCAAACTTAGCCCTTTTATGACTTTTGGACGTCAACTCCCAGAATTCCTCAGCCAGCATGGGGAAAACTTGGCCCCTTCATGACTCGTGGACTTCAACTCCCAGAATTCCTGAGCCAGGCATGCTGAGGGGAAAGGGAGGGGTTTCCAAGCTGAGCCATGCTGGCTGAGGAATTCTGGGAGTTGAAGTCCTCAAGTCATGAAGGAGCCATAGTTCCCCCATGCTGGCTCAGGAATTCTGGGAATTGAAGTCCCCAAGTCATGAAGGGGCCATAGTTCCCCCATGCTGGCTCAGGAATTCTGGGAGTTGAAGTCCACAGTCATGAAGGGGCCATAGTTCCTCCATGTTGTCTCAGGAATTCTGGGAGTTGAAGTCCCCAAGTCATGAAGGGGCCATAGTTCTCCCCTACTAGCTCAGGAATTCTGGGAGTTGAAGTCCACAAGTCATGAAGGGCCATAGTTTCCCCCTACTAGCTCGGGAATTCTGGGAGTTGAAGTCCACAAGTCATAAAAGGACCAAGTTTGAAGAGCCCTGCCATAAACTAACCTTGCTTTTGGTATAGGAGGCTCTATGCCCCCTTGGTGGCTGTAATCAATGCGCAGCCAATATTTTTAACTTGCTGCAAGGCGGGCTAGAGAATTCTGGGAGTTGAAGTCCATCTGTGTTGGCTGGGGAATTCTGGGCACTAAAGTCCCTCTTTAAGATACAGGAAGGTTCCCAATCATTGGTTTAGTGACAGTTCCAAGTTACAACTGATCTGCAAAAAGGGACTTACGGTGGATTTTAACACTTATACCCTAAGTCAGTCGTGGCGAGCCTGTGGCACGGGTGCCAGAGGTGGCACTCGGAGCCCTCTCTGTGGGCACATGTGCCATTGCCCCAGCCTCGCCTCCCCCCGTGACCCCCTCCTCACCAGCAGCCCCCCTGGAGGAGAGTTGCCCCCGAGCGTGGCCCACGCGGAGCAGCGCAGCCAAGGACATGGCAGCCAGGCAGCGTAGACAAGACTCTACCTTCATGCCCCATCGCGCACAGTTGATGCTGCAGGGCGCGGGCAGAGGACGTGACCGCCATGGCGCTGCTGGGCTGCCTGGACAATTTGTGGCAGGCCCTGGAGGTGGTGAGTGGCCCCATGGGCAGGCGGGGCAGGGGATGGGGGGGGCAGTTTTGGGGCACTCCGTCTCTAAAAGGTTTGCCATCGCTGCCCTAAGTGGCTTCCCTGTGGTTGTGTGATCAAAATTCGGACGCTTGTCTAACTGAGATTAGAGAGAAATCTCCTTGTATACACAACTCAACGCTGACATTCTCCGGTGAAGTTTGGATGGCATCTCCATGCCCTAAAAACAGTGCTTTTGTCCGAAATCTGGAGCCAGCCGTCAGCTTCCCCGTCTCAATCAATCAGAATAGAGCTGGAAGGGACCTTGGAGGTCATCTAGTCCAACCCCCTGCTCAGGCAGGAAACCCTATACCATTTCAGACAAATGGCTGTCCAGTCTCTTCTTAAAAACTTCCAGTGTTGGAGCATTCACCGCTTCTGGAGGCAGATTGTTCCACTGGTTAATTGTTCTCACTGTTAGGAAATTTCTCCTTAATTCCAGTTTGCTTCTCTCCTTGATGAGTTTCCATCCATTGTTTCCTGTCTTGCCTTCTGGGGCTTTGGAGAATAAGTTGACCCCCTTCTTTGTGGCAGCCCCTCAAATATTGGAATGCTGCTATCTTGTCCCCCCCCCCAGTCTTTCTTTTCTCTAGACCAATGTTTCCCAAACTTGACAATTTTAAGGCATGAGGACTTCAACTCCCAGAATTCCACAGCCAGCAATGCTGGCTGTGGAATTCTGGGAGTTGAAGTCCACATGCCTTAAAATTGTCAAGTTTGGGAAACACTGCATTAGCCAAACCCCAATTCCTGCAAGTGTTCTTTATATGTTTTTGTCTTCAGGCCTTCAATCATCCTAGTTGCTCTTCTCTGCCCTTCTTCCAAAGTCTCAACATCTTTTTAGGTAATGTGGTGACCAAAACTGGATGCAGGATTCCAGGGGTGGCCTTACTAAGGCTTTATAAAGCAGGACTAATACCTCACGTGATTTTGATTGGATGCCTCGCTTTATACTATAGTCTCATCCCTTGGAGCTGTGAATTGCCAAACCTTCTACATCCAGAACGGGATCTCCGTTATCTGCTCTAATCACTTTGGGTTTTCTGGCTGATATTTCATTGCAACTGATAACAAAAGGTGTGTGGTTTGCCTGCCAAACTGGGTAGTTCAGAAATGTAATCCAAGAGGATTACTGAGCAGAACGGTCTGTTGTTACTTTGCTTCCCGTAAAATTCTG